AATATTTGATATGTAACATTTCTTTTTTAATTATTTTCTTATAGTTTATTATCCAGTAGCATTGAAGCTCTTACGTCTTCCTTATATCCTTTTACTTGGCAACATACTCTTGTATCAGTTCTTCCTTCTCAAATGGTATCTGTTGCTGATTTTGTTCAAGCTCCAACTCCATATATCATTGGTTTGTTAAAAACAGAGAATCAATCAGATATATTCTCTCAATTGAGTGAAAAAGATCAAGTAAATACTATATTTATATATGAACTTCATAATATGTTTCTTCATCGAATAATAATGTTATTTAATCAGGTTTTCATTTTTGATTTGGATGCCAACAAAACATTGCGTAAAGTAAAAGATGAATATAGTGTCCTGCCATCAAGAATTGCTAAAGGTTTGAAAAATGTTATTGGGTTAAAAGTGGATTTAGATCAATCAACTAAAGCAGTTCTAGCATCTGAGTCTCTTATACGATTGTTTGTGGAACTAGTTGGTCATTATAAATCTTTTATCCTATCAAATTCAGAAAATAAACCGAATTTTCAGGTATTATTTATAAAATATTTTCACTTAATAGATGTTATGCATTTTTTATTATTATTATTATTAATATTATTTGGTAAACAACTGTAATTATTACATGTACTAAAAAAAATTACAAATCGTGAAAATAATTAGTTTAAGTTGTTGAACAAATTTTTAAATAACAATAATGGTTTAATGTCATTGAAAATAGATGATAATAAATCATAATTCATAGTCAATTTAGTTGAGTTTTTTTAAATAAAAATACTTTTATCTACAGTTGGTATTTTGTATGTAAATTATATATTAAATTACATTTCTAATTTGTTTACTCAAAATAATGATTTTATTATAATTAAGTATAACATTTTTAGTTTTATTACAATTTCCTCAAAAAAAGTTAATCATTTATTTTCCATTTTCAACAAACCTATTAAACTATGTCTATTATATTTTGAATCATTTAAGATGTATTTTATAGAAAAAAAACTTGATGCTTTTTGTTAGGGTATAATATATTTCTTGTTATATTTCAGAAACAATTTTTCATTGATGCCGGTATTAATACTGCACATAGGAATTTTTTGGAATGGTTTACAGAAACGGCTATGTTTACAACATTTTTAAATAATAAAATACATAACAATATTGACAAAAAAGACGTATTTGAGTGCCGATGTGATGAATTTTCTAACGAGCTCAGTAAAATTAAACGTAAATCAAAAACCCTGCAATCTATGAAGGCAATAGGTGATCGGATAAAAGAATGGGCAGTTTCATGAATCCATTCAATTAACTGCCTTATATCTGATTTGTAATGATAAATTTTAATTTAATATAATTAAATATATTAACCAAAGATCAAGATTTTCAAAAATGTTTTATATGTATAAGAAAATTAAAAACACTGAATAGTATTACTAAAATATTGATAATTTTTTGTATTGTTTGTAATATATTAGCATTAATTTGTTGAAAATATTTCATTGTTTATTTATTAAATTGTATTTATTCATGATCATATTTTCAGATTTTCTACAATTCTTTTTATTTTAGTTACTCCCTTAATTATAACATTTTTCCACTAATTTACTGCCTGATACTTATTTAGGGGAGAGGTTAATGCAATGTATTTTATCAACAAAAATTACTTCACAGGAAAATGTTGTTAATTTTTTTTTTTCCATTTAAAGGGAGAACTTTTTTCAGGTCGGATCAAAGCCTGACTTTTCATTTTACTTCAAATAACGCTAGAAAAATACGTTTGAAAGAGTAATTTTCTTTCACATAAGATTTTACTAGAAAGTGTACCTACTAAATAAAAAGGTGCCCATGACTTAATAGATCTATTTATAAATGCATTCAATATTCATATAATATTATGGTGTGTTATTTACATCCCAATCAAGTACAACATTTGTGGCTGATATGCTGAATAGCTGAATACACATAATTTATTCTTATGGTGCATATACTCGAGAAAATAATCAGCACGATCGTTGTGACCCATGAGAGTACATACCAGGTGATAGGGGATTCATCCCTCCACTACCTTTTATCAAATTCTGAATACAGCTATAATTTTATATTTGTATTGATTTCTCTACAATGATTGCTGTTTTTTTCATCAGTAATCACCTTCTGGGGTGTTAAATTTTATTGCATATTATACTATTTTTTTTTAAGTTATTATAAATTTCTATTTGCTCTTATTGATCTTAAAATTTGCAAAAAAAAAACTTTAAAGTTTAAACAATAAAAAAGTGGGTAGGTCGATGTCGTTCTGCTGTGCAATATATGTCTAGGAGGATGCTGTTAAGGATGGTATACAGTTTGAATTCAATGATATCAAATCATTGTATACAAAGCACGATTCTGAGCGGAGACGGTACGACAGTTTAGGATATTTTATATGGTTATTACCATGATATAATTAACATTAATAGTTAGGTACATAATTATATCATGGTTATTACTTATTATTAATATGGTAGACGATAAGTTGAATTAATATCATTCTTAAATTATCAGTGATGCTGGAAAAATATTAAAAATACCTATGTAAAATTGGGCTCTTTTGGGGCCGAATTACAACAAAATGATAAACGTTATTCTTTGTGTTAATATGCAATTTTGTCCAAATTTCAAAATAAAATGTTTGTAAAAATTTAATTTGACATACTAGTAGAAATTTTTAGACCTTAGATATAGGTAAATAGAATTTTTTTTATAAATTTCTAACTAAATATAATTTGCTCGTTTTCATGATTTTTACGAATTTTGTCAAATTTTTAAGTTTAAATACTCATAAAATAATTATTGTGGATTTATGCTCAACTTTTTTTTTAACTTTCATTAACAACAAGTTGTATTACATTTCCAAGTTTTTTGACCGCGCGAAAATTTTTTTATCGACTTGGGTTTAAAAAAAACAAATAATAATCGAAATTTTCTTTGCCAATTAATAGTTCAACACAAATCAAAATATTTTGAAAACTTTAGAGTGTATAGTAAATACTTACACAAATATTCAGTGAGAATTTCATATATCTACTGTCATTTTCGTTAAATTTACCTACTCTAAAAACCAAAATCTGTTTTTTCGAAAAATGGTTTTGCGTAAAAATTCCTGTTTTTCCTGAACTGTTTGTTTTTTCTGCTGATTTTGAAAACTATTGGGAATTTCATATTTTGACCTCTCGAATGCATCAATTAGATTCAGTTTCCTACCAGAAAAGTAGTTGTTGAAGAAAGTCGAAGCCCTTTTACTGCAAGAAACCTTGATGACACCCACAAAAAAAAAAAAATAATAAATAAATATAAAAATACACATGGTAAAATCAAATACATTCATCTCTCCGCTCAGAATCTAAAATGTTTTTAAAACCACAAAAAAATATTATTAAAATCAAAATTTAATTTTCCAATTCAATGATCAGCAGAATCGAAATCTAAAATTTTATACCACCATTATCGTACCTACTATCCTACTCAATATTTCATACTCACGTGTTGTGATACGAAAAAACAAAAAAATTATAATTTATATTTATATCGATATAATTAAAAATATTATATTTATTATATAATTAATATGATATATTATATATTTATTTTAATATTATTTTTGAGTAGCGGCTTACCGGGACAGTTCTGGGTACAACACCTGCCCAGTCAGTAGTAGTAAGAACTATGAGGCACCTACGTATGTATAACTATTTTTAACCTAATTGTATTTGCGTGGATCTGTAACGTACGAACATCACATCGCTGGCGAGTTGCAACTAGAGCCGGGCGTCGAGGTTGACTGGCGAGTGGCGACTGCCCGACTGCCACTGCCGAGCGGACTGCTTGACACTTGTGTTAAGCGGCCCTCACACGATCAATATTACTGACAGTATTTGATACTGACAGTATTATTGATCGTGTGATGTGAATACTGATGTACTGTCAGTATGAAAAAACGTTACTGATGACTGATGAAAAATTCGGATATCGAGTCGTCAGTATTTGTTTACTGATGATTATATTGATAGTGTGAGGTCGATATTGACACTTCGTCAGTATTGACATCGCAGCGATGGATGACGGAAGTGAAATCACAAGCCGCGAATGCCGCGATCGATCCATATTGCGAGATTTTTTTTTAGAGTACAAACAATTACCCGAATTGTGGGATGTTCGTTGTAAAGAGTACTCCAATAGAGATAAAAAAAATTCTGCCTATAAAAAACTCTTAAGTTATTATAAACATTTGAAGAATGACTCTACAATTGAAGATGTAAAAAAAAAATTAATACATTAAGAAGCAACTTTCGGAAAGAATTAAAAAAAATTAACGACTCGAAAAGAAGTGGTGCTGGGACAGACGACGTCTATCAACCATCATCTTGGTTATTTGAAGAGTTATCATTCTTAACGGATTTCGAAAAACCAACTAAAAGCGTATGTTCCATTGATGATAAAGTTGAAAATAGAGACGAAGAGATAAAGGTAGGATAATTTATCATTAAATATTTTCTCATATTATGTTATACTTATTTATTTTATACCATATTTTACGTTTATAATCTAAAAATGAAATGTATTAAGTAAAATAAAAATAAAGTAATAAAATAAATATAAGTACATTTCTTTTACTTTATATTATTACACACACACAAAAAAAGTAAAAACTTAAGAAGCAATACACTTAAAAGTAAAGTAATTATGTAGGCACTTTTTAATTTATAATATAAATAAATAAATAATAATAATAGTTATAATTGTAATAAATTATATAATTTTAAATCATATTTGTTTGCCATGGAACTTGACCTTCCTTATTAAAATAATTGCAGTATTTTTCTCTCACCAATTTCGCATCTTCGCTTGCGTTACGAATAGGAGTTTTCTTTAAAGAACCTAATACGTTTTCTGTTCTTTCATAACCATTAATTATTTCTCCAGTTTCTAAATTTTCTTCGACAAGAATACTTTTTGAACAATATAGCTGCTGATTTGTTTCAATTAAAAAATTGTGTAAGCAGCAACAAGCCTATGTAATTTTTACTGCTTTTTCGGGGCAAAGATTTATTGGTCTTTGAAACACTCCATATTTAGATGCTATTATTCCAAAAGCGTTTTCGACAACACGCCGAGCTCTGGATAATCGATAGTTAAAAATGCGTCGATGGTTTGTCAACTCATGTTGGCTAAATGGCTTCATTAAATTAGATTTTAGTGAAAATGCCTCGTCACTAACAAATACATATGGATATGTTCCACTAGTGTTTGGTAAACATGACGGTAGTGGAATATTAAGTGTATTGTTTTCAAACTTTTCCCAAAATTTTGTATAGTAAAGTACACCTCCATCTGATATTCTACCATTTGCTCCAACGTCAACCATAGTGAATTGATAATTCGCATTAACTATCGCCATGAGGACAATACTAAATATACCTTAATAATATTTAAAAAATAATTAATAATTAATATAATTTATTATTATTATTATAATTTATACCTTTATAATTGTAGTACATTGAGCCCGAGTTGGGTGGTTTTTTTATGTCCACGTGTTTGCCATCTATGGCTCCCAAACAATTACCGAAATTCCATTTGTCATTAAAATCACTCGCAACAATTTTCCATGCTTCAGGAGTCTGCGGAAGCTATAAAAATTTACTAATTAATATAAATTGCCTAATCATTTACACAGTCCCATGATAAATAACAAAATAACAACCTAATAAAATAGTTTTATTTTTACTTATTTTGATAAAGTTATTTACATTTACAATATTTTAATGACGTATTAGTAAGATATTAAAAAAATATTTTTTATGTAATTTTTCGATTTATATTTAAGGTACCAAACAATGACTCTAGTGAAGCAATTCAACATACAGAAAATGCAGTTCCTACACCAAAAAAATCCAAATCATCTATCAGTCAACAAAATGAATTACTTTCACTTGCGTGTAATTATTTATCAAAAGAAGAAAATATACAAGATTCAGATTTAGACCAGTCCAAAGTTTGGGCAAATACTTTAAAAACCCCGACTCCTAATCAAAAAGTATTTGCTCAGAAGGCGATTAATGATATTTTGTTTGAGGCACAGCTTGGAACTTTGCACAGAAACTCAGTCAAAATAAACGAAGAAGACTGCACTTGTACATCTACTCCAATGACAGTAAATAGTTGGAACGAATCTTCAATTGATACAACGCAATCACAGGACTATGTTTTGACACAAACAAATTTACAAAATTTCTATGGCAACTGGAATGGAAGTGATGTTTAATATTAATACTAAATTGTGACTTTATTTAATAACACTGATTGCTCATATAAATTATAAAGACTGTAATAATGTTAAAGACTAAAGCATGGTTGTAAAATTAAAAATAAATATATTGTTTAAGTTTTGTTGTTTAATAATTTAATATAATACTGTTATTTTTGTCTAAAAATTTGAAAAAAATATATATTGTTTATCTCACATAAAAATATAAAACTACTTTAAATTTAAAAGTAAAATAATGTTTTATATACCTGAATAAGATCCTTGAGTACAGTAACAATAGCTTCACATTTCTCAATTACAATCATGCTTATTGTTGTTGGTGATATAATAGAAGAAAATTTTAAATCTTCAAATGAACGTCCAGTCACCAAGTATCTCAAAGTAACGGCAAGCCTTTCGTTTGCAGAAATACTGTCTCTCATATTCGTATCCATTTTGGTTATAAATGGTCTTAGCATGTTTAATAGTTGATTATAAATAACATCACTCATACGAAAATAGTTTTGATAATCTTTTGGATCAGATAATTTTATTTCATTTAAAATATTTAAGTGAGTGTAAGACTTTTCGTTTAGCAATCCATTCTTTTATCCATCGTTTACGTTTTATCTGCTTTTTTTTTGTTACAGAAAGGGCGATTATAATTGCAATGCACGCCTTTTTCTTATCCATTTTTGTAAATTTAAAAATATTTGTACTATTTAAACTAATTAATAATTTACAGTATCTATAGACAACAATCGATCTGAACTATTGTGAAAGTAAAAAATACTGAGTATTGAATGTAATTTGTAATGACCGTTTGAGGACTATACTGTCAGTTATGAAAATACTGTCAATATTTATATTGTCAGTAATATTGATCGTGTGAGGGCCGCTTTATTTTAAATAGCAATAAATCTGGCAACCGGAGACGAAATTTTAAATTTAAATTATTGTGTTTTTGTTCTATGACAATTATCAAAGTTTATCTTCCATGAGATAATTTCCTAATGTAATGAAAACAATAACAATGTAATTCTAAAAACTTGTAAAAGAACAACATAAATCACAAATCACAATCACAATGTTGATGTGCAGCTGATGGCACGGCCACGGAGGAGAATTGTTACAGAGTAGAATAATATTAATATTATTATTTAGTATTTACATTTATAGATAAAGAAAATAATTTACCTTTTTAAATTGTATTATTTATATGTGTACAAAGCGTGCATTTGGAAGAAGGAACGAACAAACGAACCATAAAATAAGTGATCGCGGCTACACGGCTTGGGAGACGCGAACTGCGAAGAGTCATCGGTCAGTAGTCAGTAGTTACCTAGTACTCAGTAGCAGAGTTGATGCGCTTTCATTAAGTACTTTGATACTATTGTCCGTTTGAGTAGCCAATTCGTGACGGACAATAGAAATAATAATAACCATTTCCGCATCGTCGCAAAAAAAAAAAAAAAACGAATTAAAAATATTATAAGACAAGTAACTCGATCACTGTCTGAATAGTAAATATGATTAACCGCAGTGACATTGTCTGCGGTAACCGTTATTACCATTACTCAACGTTTCACTGCTAGTTTTTTAGACACTTCGCACAGTTATATTCATGTTTGCACTAGGAACGATAGTGGTAATGCGGTAACCTACGACAGTACTCAATCAAACAACACTTTTTGGACTTCAGACGTATAACGTCATCTTAAGTGAGTGATTAGTGTTTGTTCAAGGTTTTCTTGTTGTGCCCATTCCTCAAAACACTGACAAACGATCAAATTTATCAAAACTGGTGTGTATTGACATGGTTAAAAAAAATTTAATTTACAGTGTTGTACATACACCATTAAAATACGGTTACTCATAATACTTATCCTACACTTAGCAGTTTACACCAGCTATGGTCATTCCCTGCAAGTAGCTACAAAGCTTCAAAGAGTTAAAATATTTTTCTTTTTGTTTAAATTTGCAATTTTGGATACTGCCTAGCAGTTGAGTTTCATTAATTGTTTAAGTTTTCTTTTATAAAGCAAGGAGACCAAAGATCAAAAATGGACCCAATGGCACTAGTGACGCAATATAATTTATTGCAAAATGGTCCTCCGGAAGAATCAAAACTTGCTACTTATATGGTATGTATAATATGCCAATTTAATATATCTATTAATTAGTTACTTATATTTAGGGACAAACATATTTGATCTCAATATCATTAGGTCATAGGAAAAAAATTGATTGAGCTTATTCATTAATTGTATTGAATAATATAATAATATAATGCTTTATGTTCCAAAGAAATTATTATATTATTGAAATAAAAACTGAATCAAAGCAATTATTAATTTTTATAATTTTATAATATTAAATAAACTAATATCAGATAATTATTTTTTATTTATTATAGTTGAGTCATTTATTTAATAAGTTGTTTTAAATTTTGGCAGGCATTATAAATATATTCTTATAGTATGAACCAGTGGTGTAATTAACTGATTAATTGCATAACAACAAAAATTACCACTAGAAACCAATAGTTTTTAAACATTTTTATTAAAAGAAGAAAATAACAATATATCTACTTTAAACCTGTAAAATAATTGTTCTGATAATGTCTATTATATTATTCATGTTTGAGTATAGATAATATTGTTGCCTTAAATCACAGTCAAATATTCTAAAATTCCAATTGATATTGATATCAATATAGATATTTAAAAAATAAAATTAACGGTTTCATTTTTAATCAAGATGTTTTTAAATTATAATTTTAATAAAATATAAATGGTTATTTTGTTAGAGTTAGAAAATAACTGATAACTATACTATTATATTTCTGGTACCAAAATCACAATTTTTTAAGGGGTAGCAAAACTGTAATCATACCACCCCATGAAAAAAGTGGGGTAGCGGGCGGTCACTACACTTAATCAGTTCAATAGAGTATCTACTACCAATAATATGTTACATTAAATATTTAAACTACTATTCCAATATATCATAGTAAATAAAATGTATATTCATGCATAATTTTAATTCTATAATACATTTTTGTATATTTTAATTTTATTATTATTATAATTCTAATAAGTAATTATTTTTGTTTTATTTTTAGAAACGTCAAAATAATGCATCACCTCAATCAACATTGTACTCAACATTATCAAAAAATTATTCTAATTTAGATATAAACCAGTCATCTGTATCGATGAAGAAGGTAGGTTAAGTTAGGTTAGGTTATAAATATTAAAATAAAACTATATCTTATTACTAGATTTTGTATCAAATATATTTCTTGTATAAAATTAATCATCCCATTTATACTTAGAGTTAATGTTGTCTAAGCCAGCTATTTATGAACATATTCACTGCAGATAACGCCAATTGGCGTCATTTTACATTGTTTTCATATGGTGAATAACGTCAATTGGCTTCATATTCTGTCTTATTAAATGTATTACAATTTGGTCAGTGTTAAAATTAATTTTTTTTTTTTTGTCAGCTTTTTTGTGAAACATTATTTCATAAACAGATGCAAGTTGTACAACAATATTTTAATTTTTCAATTTTTAAGAAACTTTTTTAGCGCCACAACCTGTATACTCAAATATTTTCTGCAGCTAACATGTTATGAGAGCAGAAATATGCATTAATCTGCACAGTAAATATGATAACTCCTCGCAGACATTCAGATTATGATCATTTTTTTTTAAATTTAAATGAGGAAAACTTTATTCGTGTTGGAAACTAATTCTTTAATTATTTAAGTCTTAATAATATCAAAAATAAATAATACAATCCAAAATACTCAAAAATATGCATTATGTAAGTTGATTACAGGTTTTTAAAATTGGTGTCTGATGAGACCAACATAAAGTATTCATCTTTCAAATGAAACATTAGTTATCAAAATCTGATTTTTTCATGAGGCATGAGTTTTCCCTATGAGGCAAATTTTTGTATTAAACTCATCGTTCCTGACACTTAAAGTACACATTAGTTGATAAATAGTTAATTTTTAGAATAACATGAACATTTTAATTTACATTAAATATTTAATTTGTTTTTTTAAACATAATTAGCTCATACTCTGATTCTGAGAAATACGTGTAAATTGCTCAATACATATTAATATTTTTGGCAGATATTTCAAATTCTATACCATGATAACATATTTCTTAAGTACAATAATGATTTTTGTTTTCAGGCATCTATACCAACTGTTGATTTCGTACCTAGAAATCTAGTTGGTTCGTTAAATAATCCCGATGGTTCCTCAATGTATGCTAAAGATAAATCTCAGCCTATACAAGCATATCAGGTAGATAGTATGACTTAATATTATCTCTAATAATTTTTAAGTATCTTAAAAATATATTTTAATTATTATTATCTGATGTCCAATAGAAAAATGTCAATGGTACAACATATTTCTATCCTCCAGACACTAATGGTACTAATCAACCAAATGGTAATATCTTTGATGATCCGTCTGGATATTTACCAATGCCATCTGTTGAATCACCTACATCTTCATTATATGCCCAAGATGACTTAAGAAGAGATTTGTTGCATAGAAATGCTTTATCAATGGCCTCGCCAGACTCAGAACGATGGCCTGGTCTGTAACATTCTCAATAAATGAGTAATTTTTCTTTATGCAGTTTTAATAGTTTGATGACATTTATACTTTAGATTTACCAGAAACTGTTGAAGATTATCATGATGTTTATCCGCTAGATATATATGGACACTCTTCTAAAATATTGACTTATAGTACATCCACTTATCGAGCAACATATTCAAAGACTGGAGAGAAATGTTGTTTAAAACGAATTCATGGTAACAATTAAATTAACTTTTTTACTAGTTTTTAATTATTACTATGATTATTTATTAATTATATTTTTTATGAGATGCTAACTTTTTTTTTAAATTTTACATTAGATATAAGTAGACACACCCTATACTTTTTAGCACAATAAATATGATTTGAAAGAATAAAATGTACATTCATATTTGGAGTAAGAAGTCACCCATTAGTAACCCTTGACTGTTTAGCTGTCTATATATTTATTTTTTGATAAATAAATAATTTTTTTAATTTTCAATCAATTCACGACACCAGTTGTTTTTTAGATGACACATGTGGTTACCAGGTATGGTTATGGTGGCTGGTTCTTTATGAGACAGTGGTTATGAATGTTTTTTAGAAGTGTGTCACTTCTTTCACAGTTATCATGGAAATACCTTTATGTAATGTGTAATTAGATATAAAGGTTGGGCATTCGTTATCTTCCTGAGGGATATATTCTGGAACTTTTTCCCGTTTACGTTTTAAAAAACCAAGGTCATAGTACTTTAGGTTATGTTTTATCCATAAGAACATTAATTTGGATAAATACTCTAAAGTTAGGTTAGGTAGTCACTCTTTAGTTACTTTAAAGTAACTTAAGCATATTTTTTTTATTTTGATATTAACATAAGAATTAAAAACTTGAATAAGCAATAGCTTTTTTATTCACATTTAAATTTTAATCTCAATGGCACAGTTTTTTCACATTAAATTTGTGTTTCAAATTAATAACAATTTACTGAATGAAAAAAAATATATATATTTGAGTTGGTGGTTTATTTTAAATGTTTGATGTTATAGGTTTTCGATTAACAATTACAAAATATGCTCCATTAATTGAAGCTTGGAAAAAAATCAATCATGCAAATATTGTTCAGTTAAAGGATGTATTTATAACAAAAGCTTTTAATGATAGTTGTGAGTGTCCTTGTGACCTATATTATTTATATAATTTTAAATGTTCTGATATTTTTTTGGGATTAATTATTGTTTTTTTTTTTAGCATTAATGTTTATTTTTAATTATCATCCGGATTCTGAATCTTTACAAACACGACATTTCAATTCTAATGAAACAATGAATGGTTATAACGATCCATTTAGTTCTGATCCAAATGCACCACGACCTTACAGCCATACTAAAAATGCAATTTTACGACATCAGCATAGGTAAATCATTTTTCAAAAGTCCTATATTAAATTGAATTTTTGGTTTCATTTTTTGTTTTAGTCGGTATTTGAAATTAAAGATACAAAATACATATTGTTCATTTTTATAAGAAATATTTCACTTGAGAGTTTGATATAATCAGAAATGTTAAAATTCAATTTTGACTTCAATTATTTTTAGGCCTAGATTTAATTTTTTTTAATTTACCAAAGTATATTAATTTTTAAAATGTTTCAGGTTATTCATTGCCTATTTTAATATATAATAATGACGTTATTGTTTTGTTCAAGATATTAAATTAGTTGTCAAAGTATCATAACGTTTGGCTTAAAGCTAATACAAATTAAAAATTAAACTAATTTCAATTACTTATATTGTATACCATTTAAGGCAGCGTTTCCCAAACTATGGGTCAAATCTTTTTGATGGGTCGCAACTCGTGGTTACGATTACTGTTATTTTAGCCATAAATTGGTATCTCTAATGTGAAGTCCAACTAGTATTGTAGAATGTATGATAGAATTTTTTTTCTAGCAGGGGGTCACATACTCCATGAAAATTCAATATATGATTCGCTATTGCAAAAAGTTTGGGAAACACTGGTTTAAGGAGTATCCTGTGGGATAAGTTATTTATTCGAATAAGAATTACTCTTTTTCTGTAAATTGTTAAGTTTTTTCAATTAAATGTAAACAAAATCAATAATTGGGATTCGTAGTTTTTGAGTTATTTGTAACTTTCTAGGCCAAGAATTTGAAAATATTACTTTAAAAGATACTTAAAAATTTCAAAGGTCAAAATTTGAATAAATTCATTATTAATGAAAATAATTAGGGTGAGCATACATGTTGAGTCACTCTGTATATTTTTTATAATGTGGTCAGCTTTTCAACATTTCAATGTACCTATTTATTTTATTATTATTCTAGATTTATAATATACTTTAACATTTTTGAATTAAATTATATTGTTTTCTGAACATAACTTTTATTAATTCATAATAATTATTTCAACATATCCTCACATAACAATTTAAAGACTTACCTTGAACTACTAACTACAATTGTTTGTAATAAAATAATTTTTAATTAAAAACAACTATAAACTTTGTTTTAGTAATGGACTATTATCTGAAAATACACTATGGAACTACGCGATTCAACTGAGTGGTGCACTCCGAGTAATACACGGATCTGGATTAGCGTTACGAGGTCTTTGTCTAAATAGGGTTTTAGTGACAGGTCATGTAAATACCAGAGCAAGACTACGAATCAATTGTGTAGCTATAACAGATATTTTGTTAAATGATATGGCCAGCTCAAACATGATTGGTCATTTTCAAGTGAGTGAAGATTTAATATTTATTTAATTAATGAATGTTATTTAAAATATGAGTTAACATTTTTAGCAAGAAGATTTAACAGACTTTGGTAAGCTTTTATTAGCACTGGCTTGTCGATCTCTTATAGCTGTTCATCAAGATAATCTTGCTACTTCTATTGATTTAATGGCACGCTCGTACAGTAGTGATATTCGTAATTTAATAAGGTTTGGTACATGAATCTAATTAAAGACAGTAAAACACAATATTATATGATAACTATTTTAATTATCTCTCAGGTATTTACTGAGTAGTCAAAGACGGCATATTTCAGAGTTAATGCCAATGATAGGAGCTAGGTTTTACACGCAATTGGATTCTGCACAGAATCACTCTGACAATTTGGAAAATGAGCTATCCAAAGAGATGGAAAATGGCCGTTTGTTTCGATTGCTTGTGAAACTTGGATCAATTAACGAACGACCCGAGTAATAAATTTATTGAAAATGTTTTATTGCATTTGTTTATATGTTTATTAAAAAAAAATATTTTATTTTCAGGTTTAATTTAGATCCAGCATGGTCAGAAACTGGTGATCGGTATATGTTAAAATTATTTAGGGACTATCTATTTCATCAAGTCACTGAAGAAGGACGCCCTTGGCTAGATATGTCGCACATAGTTCAAACTTTAAACAAACTCGATTCTGGATCTTCAGATACCGTAAATTATAAATATTATTATATTATTTTTGTTTTACTTGCCTATTTCAAAATTGTTATTTTTTTTAGATTTGTTTGTATTCGCGTGATGAAAAGACCATATTAGTGGTTACTTATCAAGAATTAAAACATTGTTTAGAACAGTCATATTGTGAAATTGCCTCCGTGGCTGCGTCGGATGATCATATTAAGGCTGAATAATCTTCTTAGAAGTCCTTCAGCAGGACTTTTGGATAATTAGCAATAAGTCCAAGTACTTAATTTATAATAATTAATTAATATCTTAATAACAATTGAGATAAATTTATTACATGATGGATTAATTAACTTGGTTGATTGCTTAAAAGTGCTAATTTTTACATTTTTTTTTATTTTCTTCTAATTTTATTTTTGATTATATAATTATTTTTTTTACCAAATTTCATTCCTAATTCAACATTCCAATCATAAGTGTTGCAAAAATTAACTTAACTTGAGTCTGTTTTTCAATTTGCTTCCATTTGGCTGTGTATTTACAAAGAATATATATATATTTTAAACATAGAGCAATAATAAAACATTATATCATAGCTAGCTTGAAGTTGATAATTACAATTTTAGTAAACTTTTTGGTCTCTCAATTGTTATATTTTTTGTTACATTTAATATTGCGTTAGGAATGAACAAGATGATAAATATTTAATGAGACTTAAGTTGTCTTTCAATATGTGTTCTTACTTATTTTGTTACCTAAAATTGATAAACAATAATAACAATTAAGTTGTCTCTATATTCAGTCATTACTCCATGATTCAAATAATTTTCTATTTGATTAATGGTGCATAATCATTGTATATTATGTTAATTATAGATTATTTTTATTTTTAAAGCTAATTGATTTTAATATATATTTTTTTTCTTATTAATGAATTATTTGTTTACCAAAAATTAAATTGTTGTGATCATTTATTACCAAAAACTAAAAACAAAAGCTTATTGTTGATTTTAACAAAAATATATTTTGATACATATTGAAAGATGGCTAAATGTATGGTAATATTTCTATATATTATTGAGAATTTTGAGAATTTACATAGCAGCTATTAAGTTAAAAGTAAATCGCACAAAAGCTATAGTATTGAAGCAATGGTGATGTCGTCTATCATTTGTTATAATTAAGATATATTTTTTTTTATAAATTGTTTGATTGTGATAGAATTGAGAATATAATGTCCAAAATAATAGTTCTTAAGGTTTTGTCATGTAATAGTATTAAGAAGAGTTGAATAAAAGATAATTTATTTTAACTGATTATTAGTTATGTACGTTTTTTGCTGCTTAAACTATATTATTACTAACTTATCAACATGGAGTCACCACTTGGAGCCACAGTTGAGCTTGAGACGAGTCTGGACTTGTGAAGGTGACTGTCAAGCCAGAGTATCCACAATATGTATAATAATATAAATCTGTACTTAATTGTTCATAATTCATTTAACCTTAAGAGTTCTGAATTTTTAGATTTTACAATGATGCATTTTTTTTGTTTTTGTGTCTGTCATCATATTTTCTGGCAGGAAAGTTAATGTTATTGGTACTATCTAAATTAAAAAATTCTCATTAGTTTTCAAAAGAGGTGGTAAAAAAAGAAAATAAGGGATATCTAATGCAAAATCTGTTTTTGACAAAATCTATTTTTTTTTTTGAGTAACTTAAAAGCGATAGCCATATATAGTGTTTATACTATGTACTTAAAATCTTAACACTGAGTTAAATGTATATGATCATTATTTAAAGCAGATAAAATTCCAATACAGTCATGCAGGGGATCATTTCTGAGGCCCTCTCGATGCAGGCCGCGGAACAATGTTGTGATCCCCAGGGTGAGCGGAAAAAAACACCACGGAAATTAAATCCATACAAGTATTATACAATTATTATATTCTTCGTTTTGTTGATTATAATATTCGAAAAACCATAGTACAATAATGCTTAATAGTACATAATAATATAATATAAATAACAGCTAATAATCTTAGATAATAATAGCTAATGGCCAATGGGCCTAGTAGCTGATGTTAAAAGGATGAATGTAATAAAATAAAATAGGAGGTCCACTGGTGTGAATTTTTTTGAGCAACGAACTAATACTAAAGGTTCTACCGTCTGTTTTGTATTGACTAATTACTATAAGTTAATTTTATTTATTTATTAGTTATTACTTATTACTATGAATAGTTGTGTAATTTGTGTATAAACTATAAATGTAGTATAAACCTAAGACTGAAGTTTTTTGGCTGTAGGTTCTATAATATTATCATTATTAACTACTTAATGACTTGATATTAAACAATATATAATTATATAAATATATTGTATTATTATATTGTGTATGCATATGTTCGTATTTATATTTAAATTGTTTTCGGTTATTTTCCGTGGTGTAATAATATTTTTAGACTTCTGGGATTTTTTTGCGATTCGATCCGTTGGACGGTGTATGTCAGGCATCATGTTGGAGCAATGCATGCAACTATGAGAGTGGGCTGGCGGCCCTGTACGGCTGCACGTGGGCTGGTGGCAGGCCGGCCTGTACCAATGCGTTTTGATCATAACCTAACGTAACGTACAAAATACAACAATTTTCCATCGTTAGTTGTTTATCTGTAGCTGTGGTCGTTACTCGCTAGTCGCTAAATATTGTCTTAAGTTTGAACACGAGGCACCTGCCGCCTAAATTTTTATGTAGAATACCCCATGCGAATTGCTGGGATAGTTGTATGATGAACCTGTAATTGTACTGACGGCAGTTTTTCGCTATAATATCCCTATATTGCCGATACAACAGTGAAAGTGTTAAACTTAAAGTGAGATTGTATCATGTATATGCTCATGTGTATTAATACTTTTTTTTATAACAACCAATAGCATATTTATATTTACCTACTTATTTTCGAATTAATTGAAACGCGTATGAACAAGGTTCGAATACTAAAATTCAGATCTATTTACAATTTCATCTAAGTAAACGCAAAAGCGTGGTGTTGCGTACAATATCGAAGACGGAAAAGAACATTGGAAAAAAATGAAGTATTTAACGTACTTTGCCACTTGCTATTTTTTTACTCTAGTAGTAAGTTTTGATGTCTTTAACCATATATCTTCTGCGTTTAATGCAATCGGAAACGAAATTTCCAAAGTATCCGACACCGTGAACACTGGGATCGACGCAGTCGGTAATGAATTTTCCAAAGTACCCAATATCGTGAACAGTGGAATCGACGCAATCGGTAATGAATTTTCTAAAGTATCAAACACCATCAACATTGGGATCAACGCAGTCGGGCACGAAATTTCCAAAGTACCAAACACCATCAACACTGGGATCGACGCAATCGGTAATGAAGTTTCCAAAGTACCGAACACCGTAAACACCGGAATCGACGCTGTCAGCCACGAAATGTCTAAAGTACCAAAATTGTTATCCGACGTAGGTTGTAGCAATATTGTTACCGGTATAGTCATTAGTCTACTCATCGAATGCAACCCACACGCGTTCATTGCCGACACACTAGACAGCGAAGATGTAATAATGATGAATACTTGTAAATCGATCGAAATCGCGTCAATCGCGTTACCGTTAATTGCCGATCTCGCGACATCGCCCGTACAAGTCATCTGCACAATGTGGGTTGAAGATCGTTTAGATTTGTACTCGCATTTAAAAGGTATCGATGTGCAAACAGGACCTTACGGGATCAATGTCATAGACAATGACGAATTGTTTTACAATTTATCGAAACTTAACGATCAATATTGTAATGAGGATTGCAACTTGGACGATTACGAATTTATCAAACCGGACGAACGAAACGAACCACCTGTAGACCCTACGTCATCGGGCAGTGACGACGTTAAGACTAGATTTAAACGAGGCATTTTCGGCAAAATGCTGTCAATACCGACCAAGGGTATTGCAAAAAAATTTCTCATTCAAATCGCACCTAAGTTTTTGATGAAAAATGGGGTACCGTCATCGTTGGCGTTTCGAGGTCTACGTGGTTCGGTTAGTATTAAAATGACAGCAAAAACCTCGGTTATGATTTTGAATATTAGAGAAAAGAGACTTTCTAAAATCAATGATGTTTACGATATATTTGTACTAACTAAGACTGTTCCAACAACGTACACCACAAAATATTACGTGAACGTTAACAAGCCTTATCATTTTGGGAGAGCTGCCGCTAAGAACTTTCAACGCGAACTTATGAATAAGAAATGGAAATTATTACATATACATTGATGAATAAGTTAGTTATAATAATTAGTATAATAAGTTATAATAATGTATCACATTAAATTAAATAAATTGTCTGTAAAAATTATAGTCTGAGCTGTACACTACCTATTGTTATTTTGTATAGATATTGGAATCTATAAATTTAGCAGTTCAGAATATTATAATATATTATTCAAATGTGAAATGAATAATAATAATAAAAATAGGTCCATTATTTTTTGGTAACTGTTCGTGGTTAAAAACCTTATGTGTTATAACGAACAACCCATATATTGTGATACACAATTAACCTATAATCTCCTTATGTAAAACTTTCTTTAGATTTTATTTGTTGTTTATAATAAAATTATTTTATTATCCTATGCAAGTGTTAATGTATAATGATAACTCGATGACTGTGTAATTATTTTAAAAATAATAAACGCAGTTATTAAGTACGTAACTACGTAAGTATATAAAGAAAAGAAAATATTAAAATATATATTTGGGTACTCATTTGTAATTACTATTTGTTTTTCGCATATATTAACGGTTTATACTCTTGAGGGTAGGGCGATTAACGAGACCGTATTTAAAAGTGACCTCAGATGCCAGGGGTGGATCTAGTACACTGTTTCTTAAACTGTGTTTTTACTAAAATATTTAAAAACTACTGAGAAAATCGTTAGGCATACACTTATTATATTTTAATATGACATAATAGTCAATTAATGTTAATTATTTTTATTAGGTTGTGACGATACGGGCAACGACAACGGCATGACAGTGTTGCAATGTGTGTTCTTCTATTTTTGTGTCTGTCATCACGGTTTAGTAAAAGTGCTTCGATTTTGTTCAACAGCAACTTTTCTGGTAGGAAAGTGAATCTAGTTGGTGCATTCGGGAGGTCTAAATTTTAAATTTCCAAAAGTTTTCAAAAACAACAAGAAAAACAAACAAAAATTAAGAAAACGGGAATTTTTACGCAAAACCAGCTTTCAAAGAAATCGAATTATTTTGGTCTTTAATGTAAATTTAAAAAAAATTATACCGTAGATTATGAAATTTATGTGCATTTTTGTGTTAGCATTTTCTATACACCATACAATTTTCAAAATATTTGTACTCGTATTGAACTATTTATAGGCATATATGCAGTTTTCGATTATAATTTGTTTTTTTTAAACTAATGTCGATAAAAAAATCCAAATAACTTAAAATTGAATACAAGGTTTCTCATAAATATTTTTATGAAAGCGAATAAAAAAAAGCGTTTAAGTGGATGATGATATTAAATTTGAATTCAATGATGTATCATATGATATCATTGTATACGAAAAACGATTCTGAGTAGAGACGGTTTGTCGGTCTAGGATATATTATATTATATTTGTATTGTTATTACTTATTATCAAAATATTAATATGGACATATGGTAGCCGGTATTCGGTAAATTGGGCTGTTTTTGAATCAGTTCACACGGCGCCGCTCGGCACAGCAAATGATATTATATAGATAAATATAAGATATATTTTAGACTTCTACTAAAGATCTGCCATAATCACTAAAAGCCAGTTAAGCCGTAACGTTCATGGGAGTAGGTAAGGGGGGGGGTGGTTTGGGTGTTCAAACACCCCCCGAAATTAAATAAAACAATCTTGAGCTTATTGTGAATTTGTTCGAGTATATTATTAACTCGCATACTATTTAGGATTTAGACAAAAACTCTCTCCGAAAATATTTCCTACCTACGCCCATGGTAACGTTTAATTTAGAGACGTAAATTTGATACATTTTGATACTTGTTATGTTACAATAAGAACACCCCCAGGAACCCTTTCGATTTATAACCTTTTTAAGGACTGTGTTATTTAATTTTAAATGGAAAAAATCGTTACTTTTTGTGTTAGAACCTATGTGATTTTGTCCAAATTTGAACTTAAAATGTCTATGTATTTTAATTTTTTTCAACTGCTATTAGCCTATTGTAACAAGTTATCAAGAGTCTTATATTAAATTTTCCTGCTTTTTGACACAACCAATAAAATTTTATTGACATTTATGGAAACAAAATTGAAAATGTCCGTTAGTTTAAACAGCTTAAAATAAGTCAAAATATTTTGAAAATTGTATGAAGTATATGAATTGATAAAATAAACATATGGTGTACATTTCAAGTGCCCAAGGTGTTTTTTTTAATAACAACAAAATATGAAATCGCTTCATGGGAAGTATGGTGAATATCCAATGTCGAAAAAATTTCAATTTCAAACCCTAATAATTATTTAATTTGACTTTCCAATGGAATTTTTTTTTTGATTAAGGTTAAAAAATCTTAGATATGAAAAGACACTTTTTTATGAATTTCTAACTCGAAATAATGTCCTACTTTTCGTGATTTTTACGAATTTTGTAAAAAATTGTGTTATATTTATAAGTTTTTTGATCTAGCCAACATTTTTTATCGACTTAAGTTTAAAAAAAAAAAAACAAATAATTGAAAATTGCATATGCCTATAAATTGTTCAACACAAATCAAAATATTTTGAAAATTGTATAGTGGACCTATAGAAAATGCTAACACTATTCAGTGAAAATTGCATGTATCTACAGTCATTTTGGCTAGAGTTACACTAAAAACCAAAATCGATTTTTTCAAAAACTAGTTTTACGTCCAAATTCCCTTTTTTCCTTAATATTTTGTTTTTTTTCCTTTTTAAAACTATTGGGAATTTTAAATTTTTACCTCTTGAGTGCATCAACTACATTAATATTATTCCTATCAGCAAAGTTGCTGTTGAAGAGATACGAAGCACTTTTACCGGAAGAAATCGTGGTACAGACACAGTACACACAAATAAAAAAATAAATATAAAAACACAATTCATTGTAAAATCAATACATTCATTTCGCCATTTAGAATTCAAAATTGAGCATAAATTAATAAAAAATTTATAATCGTTTGAACGCTGAATGTTGACAAAGTAAAGAAAATTTGCAAAATATTTTGAGTCAGAAATTCATTAATATTTTATTTTTGAATCTACTATTTGAATTGCTAATATAACAACAGGAGCTTCTTATTTAAGTTTTTTGACCTAGCGAAATTGCTTTTATTGATATTTAAGTTAGAAATAAACTTTCATAATTTCAAATGACAATAAATCACTCAAAAAGAATCAAAACAATTTGAAAATGTTATTAAGGTGCACAGAAAAAGATAAAATAAACATTTTGAGAAAAGTACGTATGCATAGTTATTAACGTTTTTGAATTATAATAAAATAATAGAAAATCATTCATGACAATCAGACAATCGTTACCTATTAGGTATAGCCGTAAGGGTACCTAATTTACCGTTGAGTATCCAAAGTCATAAATATTTGAACTTCAAACGCTCATAAAAATTAATGTGACTCAGGTTAACTTTTATTTTGAATTAAGTAAAAAAACTTATGAGGAATCTTGTTACTTTCAAATCTTGCTTATAAAAATAAAATTTCTAAAAGAAATAATTTGCAAATGTTTGTGATTCTGACAAAAAAGTTCTTTAGTTGAAAATAAAATGTTAGGTATTGTGGATTTCCGCTCAACCATTTATTTTAAATTGAACTTTAAAAAGTTATGAGGAACCTTAAATTCAATTTTCAAATGATTTGACCAACTGAAAAAATATCGAGGAAAATAATCAAATGGTTTGAATGAAAAATGAAAATTTCATACCTATGAATATTTTGTGAAAGTTTCAAGATGTACGGACTACGGATATTTGTTTTTGAGTTACTTCAAAAATACAAAATTGATTTTGATATCCACATTCAGGCTCTGAAGTAGAGAACAATTTTTAATATAATATTAACGATTGAACAACGTTTAATCAAGTAAAACTAAAATTGTTATAATAATATAGCTATTTCTTTTTCAGAATTCTAGTTAGTCATTCTAGTTTTTTTTAATAGTCTTCAATCTTCATGATTATTTAATCTATGTACAGCCGTTGTTCTGTGTTATCACTTATCACTGTTATCTTTTGCTTACTGTTTAACACTGATTTAACGTTTATGTTCGTCAATCGTTTTCGTTATTACTTATTTCGTTTAAGTACGTATAAACAAACCGCGGTGTTGCTCGTTTACGTAATCAACTGTCAATTTCTGTGTTGTTTAGTGCGTACGGAATAATAATAATTATTCATAATGGAAGAAGATACAATAAAAATATCTTTTTCGTTTAAACAAATATCGAAACCTAAGGTAATTCCTGTACTTCCAAAAACAGAGAACGCAGTTCAGTTTATTGAATGCGTCGAAGAAAAGGCAATCAAAGTTGCTGGAATGGTAGAAAAGGTTGATCATGAATTGGTTATACCTATGCCAAAGTCAGTTAAACAGCGACTACCAACAAAGGAAGTCGTAAGCTCAATACCTAACAAACCTCAAGAAAATGGAGCGTCAACACTGGAAGAAATGGCTGTACAGGCAATATTAAAGAGCTGTAAAAAAAGAGAAGAAGGTGAAGAAGAAGAAGAAGATGATGCAAAAATAGTTGAAGTACCATTGATAATTGATCCTCAGGAAGGGATGGAGATGTCAACAGCCGAAGACTATGAAAATATACCTATTGATAAATTTGGAGTAGCTATGCTTCGAGGTATGGGTTGGAAACCTAATAAAGGTGTTGGTAAGAATTCTCAAATAGTTGCTGCTAATCTGCCTGAGATTAGGTCCAAAGGAATGGGTTTAGGAGCTGATAAGTTAATTAAATCTGTACAGAAAACACAGAGTTCCGAAGAAGAGTTAAAACTCAAACAAGGATCTTTTGTACAATTTATAATGGGTAAACTGAATGGCCAGTATGGACAAGTTTGTGGTTTTGATGAATTATCCTCAAGAGTAATTGTGAAAGTTTCACGCACTGGCGAACTGGAAAATGTAAGCGAAAATTTATTTAATTTGGTTACCAAAAGTGACTATGATAAAAATTGTAATGTGATTAATATTAAACAGTATAAAGAATATCACGAGGGTAAAACTAAAACGAATGACAGTGTAGACCAATCTAATCACCGTGAAAAAATAACTAAAGAAGACATTTACAGTGATAATCGATCTAGACACCATAAAACAAAAAAAAGTAAACATTCCAAATCACCACACAGAAAACATAAATCTAATCACAACAAACATAAAAAGTATAAACACAAAAAGTCTTCATCATAACATATTTTCAGAATTATAAATTACTAATGTATTACTTAATTTTTTTGTGAATTCATTTTATGAATAGTTATTGTATATTTTTACAGTGTTTAGACAGATACCTGCTGTTACTAATTATTGTTTAAAGTATAAAAAAATGAGTTATAAGTCAACTACTAATTGTAATTAAATGAACATCATTTGACATCTGTTACAAATTAAAATATTTCACTGCAGATTCATTTTTTAATTCCTTGCTGTTTGGTAGAACATATTTTTCAGCTGAAATAATATGCTTACTGTAGAGTGGCCCCAACAATGTGGTTAACTACAACCTACATTGGTAGGCTATTTGACATAATATTGTTTTTGGCAAAACAAGGTATTGCCTCTCGAGGTCACAGAGAAAACGCAGATTCTCTAAACAGTTTAAGATATGGTAGGTACTTCTTGAATTTATTTTATGCTGGATTTATAGTTAGTAACATAATATAATATTTTCTTTATTATTTCAAATTATTAGTTTATTATTAGCAGCCTCCCTTGGGCGATTTTGGTCGACATTTATCTAGCACTCATCAATTAAACCCAAATTGCTCCTATGTAGTTTTATAATAGTCAATAGTAATAAGAAATTTAAATAAGATATTAATTTATAGACAAAATAACCTAATGGATGGGGTGAGGTAAGGAAGCTGAAATGCTAAAACAACTTGTTAGTTTTTATCAATTAACCAAAATAACATGTAAAAGAAATTATCTTATTTATTTGTATCACCATTGATAATGCTTTATGCTTATAATTTTTAATTTACAACACAACATAATAATGATAACTAATATTATCTATTACAATATCCTCTAAAAGATACAGAAAAAATATAAATTATCATTAACTAAACATACTAAATGATGTGAAATCCTCAGACTTCTGCACAAAAATAATTGTTTTAAGTACAACAATTAACATTTACACTCACCAAAACCACTATCTAATAAATTACTTTGAAGCAAAATTAGGTATAAACAATTTCTTTTCAATACTATATTGTTTTTAATATTATGTTAGTTGAATAACAAAAAATAAATAAGTCTAGCCCATAGAGTATAATATTTATATACATTATTGTTTCGGTCATGGTTTAGTGAAAACAAATCTCAAAACTGAACAAAATTGTTATAATTTAATTTTTTTTATAATTCTTATTATTAAACCTGTCAATTTATTATAATAATATTAAACCACAGATTAAACTAATATTTACAAAATATGATAAAAGAGGCAGAACAATTATGTCGTTTGTCTTTTTAGTAATAATATCAATAAATTTGATAAAAAAAAAATTGATTATAAAAACATTGCAAATATGTAAAAAAAAAATAATACATTAACTATGTAGAATATTAAGTTATATAATTTTAATTATTTATGAATAATTACTACACAAACTCACAGTCTACGCATAGAACAATAAGCGAGGGTTGGGAGAAATTATGAACGGTAAAATGAATAATAAATGCTTACTAGTTACTTAACATAATATTACATTACACTAATGTCTAACACCTGAAAAAATCATTTAACAAACTACTCACAATTATAGAAAAAATATACCGATTACTATGAAAATAATAATTGTTATTGCTAAAAGGCATTCAAAATAATAGATTGTAAAATAGATAAAAAAAATGTAATAATAATGTTATTGTGAACACTATTTTTGTTTGTTAATAATATTTAAATAATAATGACAATAATAACTTGATTAAAAAGTTTTTAATTAATGACTAAAAGGAATTAATCAGTCAAATTGATGTAAAAGACCAATTTAAAAACTAATTTAGAATCAGACTTGTTAAGGAGGAACATAAGGTGGGGGTTTGCGATATGACGGAGTTGATGACGGTTTTGACCTATGGTTGGAGCCAGCATTTGAGAAAGGTGGTGGTGGAGGCTGATATGGCGAATCTTCTGTATCGGCTAGTAAAGCTGTGGTGGCCATTGGTGGTGATCTTTGATATTCAGGTGGTGGTAAAGGAGGCTTTTCTTCTCTCATGATTATTGGTGTTTTATTTGTGGGCTCAAGTCTTTCATCCAACTCATCCTATTGTATAAAAAAAATTTGTCAAATCAGAATACGTTAATTATTTATCTGTGTTTTCATTATTAAACCACTAAAAATAAAAATGTGCGTCATTTCAGCTTTTATAAAATAAACTTAATGAAAAGCAAATTATTCATATACGCAGGCTAGGATGATACATTACTATACATAACATAATGTAAGATAACGATGAGGGTAATTCTTACTTGAAAAATAACTGGAATACCACGACTTCGGAAACTTTGTCTTTCATCATCACCAATTCTTAACTTTGACGATGGTCTTCGGCGATACAATAAACAAGCCAATAATCCAGCAAATAGCATCATAGCTAAAATTATGATGGCTGGAATAATAAATGTTGAAAAATACTGTTCTGATTTGTCAAATAAAAGCAAAATATTGTCATCGCGAGGTGTAACATTGTTGGGAGTTTTTGGTGGTCGAACTTCGGTAAATCCACCTTCACACATCCCAGAAGGCGTAACGTGTGCTCCAACTACATTGAATGATGGTTTCATATTTTTTGTTACATTTTCAGACAACTTTTCATCTTCATTCAATAAGATCTAAACATGAAAATAAATTGAATTAAATTATTTTAAACACTATGATTAGCATATCAAAATAAAAAAAATAGAATTCTAAGCAATGACAAAGATATGATTAGTCACTAAGAATTTAAGTGTTGTAATATCAATGTATAACATCATACTACAATAATTAATTAACCTAATTGGGGTCATTACCACTAGAACACGCAAGTATGAAGATAAATAGATCAGCATAATTGTCAAATCAACTCACTACTTATAGGTATACTAAAAACAAACAGGACACCTATCTCTCGGACCTCGGTACACAAGGATTCCAGGAGAAGGCCTCTTGTGTGAAGTGGTATTCCTGTTACAGCAATATATATGTAAGAATAATATTTTTTATTTATTTACTACTATAAGTTATTAAATTCTTAGAGTATATTTAAAGGATTTACTCCACACAGTATAGTAAAAATAACATACTCGTCTTAGTTGTAGAACCTTTTCTTCATCACACCGATCAATTTCTAATGTTTTATTGTACCATGTCACCATTGTCATACCGTTTACTGAACTGACTCCAAGAACAACAATGTTGGCAGTATTTTTATCTCTAAAAAGATTAGCTACACGTTCAACAAATATTTTTTTAAGTTTAGCTGAATTATTGAATTCTTTGAATTCTGGAGTTTTGAATATCATATCAAATTCAGCTGATGGCAAAGGCTTAGTTGTATTGCGTATAGATACTACTAAACTATCATGATTTGATCTACCCTCTCGATCGGTACAAATCTAAATCACAAAACAAATATAATATTTTATCTTAAAACAATTAACAAAAAGTACAAAATTCTTTATGGATTAGTAAAATTGGTCTCACAACTCAATATTAAATTTAACTTACAAGTTGGTATTCAGAAAAGCTTTTGTCACCCCACAACGGAATTCCAAAGAATTCTTGGTTTTTAGTGTCAAATTGCAACCAGCTATTTGCTGGGACTTGTGTACGATCAATAGTCATTAAGGACAATTTCAATCTACGTGAAGAACCGTCTTCAGGATCATAAAATGTATCCTAAAAATTAAAATTAAGTAGTTTTATAATTAAAATATGAATATTTAATGTAATGTAACATAGTTATGCGTGGAAATACTGTTAAGAAAGAAATTATTTACCTCTGGTACAACATACGATAATAACTGTCCATAAGTGGCATTAATAAGATCAACTGGATTGCGCAACACAGGTTGATAATTTTGACTCGAAATAAATGACGTAGAAGCACAATTACCTAATCCTTGCCAGCTAACATCTTCCAAAACAACTGAAGAACCAAAATATTTTCCAGATTTCATTTTACTACCTTTTTCGGGTTTTAAAATCTATAATAAATAAATAACTTAAATAAAATAGAAACAATTGAAAAAAATAACTATAAAAAACATACTCCTAAAATTTGAGTTATTTGTCCATTAGGACAGGTGTCACGCGGCAATGTATCATTAGTCCAGGTAAACTGAATGCTATGTTTATCCTTATTAGCAGCTAAAATAGAGACTCTCGGCCAGTCTAAGACTGTTATATCTTTGACATCAGTTGAGTAAATTGTACTGATTCTGTCAATGATATCCAAGCTCCAATTAACTGGATGAGTCCATGCTAATGAGTCTTGTTTTAAGCGCATTTGTAGTGTTAACTGATGATTAATGGCACGTAAGTGAGGTAGCTGTTGAACTACCAGTTCTAATGTATTGTTAACAGTCAGATTCCCAGAATCTTTTGCTTCAATTACTACTTCCCATTTTGATACATGATCCTCCAAAGGCCTAAAAGGTTTATGAAGTATAAAAAAATAAGTACACAAAATTTCAAATATTTTTGGCAACATACAAAGCAAGTAAGATTTGTTTTTCAGCATCAAACTCGACCCATGATAATAGAGATGGATCAGTGTTCAACAGCGCCAATTTTAAGTGTTTTGCATCTCCATCTTCAGTATCATAGAATATATTGTCGGGAATTGGATATCTGACATCATAATTAAGAATTAAAGAATATGATAAGATATTGTATACAAATTTCTTACTTAAATGGTTTGCCAGCTGTAATAGCAAGTTTGGGTAACTTATGTTTAATTATTGGTGATGTGTTAGGATTTTCCCCATTTGATGTTGTTGTAGTAGTTGAAGTACTAACAGAATACTCATTAATGATATCCTTTATCTTGTCTGTCACCAGGTTAGGAGTTTCAGTAGATATATCATCTGGTATGGTTGTTACATCATACGAATCACCCATACCTACAGACTCCTATAGTTAAAATTAATTTTTAAGATCGTTTGACAATAATGCATAAAAAACAATTGAATATAATATAACATACAGATTCTTGGGTAGTAGGAGTGGAAGACTTTTGCTCGTAGAATGAAGGTGTTGGCAGAATGTTCTCAAACGATCCAATGGCTCCATTTAAGTCAAGAGTTGGAGATAATTTCATATTCTACAATTCAATAAATGTAAAAACAAATTAATTTAAATCCAATAAACACCAAGGATTGTAGAATTATTTACTTGGACAGGCGTAGAGTTAATAATGTCTTTTGGAATATTCAGTACAGATTCATCTCTACGATGATGTCTACGATAATGATCGGTGTCATATTGATGAGGTATATATACTGGAGATGGTTCAATAATAGTTTGTCTAGTATCAGGAATAATTTCTTCTTCTTCATCTTCATCATTATTATCGTTAGGTGGATTATTTAGATTTTTGGTCAAACTGTCATCATTATAATCGACTTCGGCAGTATTTTCTGAATTTGGGTCTTGTTTTGAGCGGGTCATCATCACCTAAACAATTATAATCAAATATAAATTTTAATATCAAATCTCAATACCATTCAAATAGTAATGTATATTACCTGACGACGGCCACGTAAAGGGTTTAATGAATTGACCAGTCTCCAACTGGTAACTGGTAACTGCAATACTTCAGACAATGTTCCATCCACTGTATTACTCTGCATTTGCCTTACATGGTCAATATGTTCTTGCAAAATATCACCTCCACATCCAACCTTAAAGCCATTGGTATTATGTTTAGTAAATTTTATTTATTTTTCTGTGACATAAAACTAATTTCTTACCTCCCAAAGGACAAACGATGTGTCATTAAATTGATGTTTTTTATGTGATTGGCGTTCAGATGTTACTAAGTAGTCGATTAACCAAGAAGACACACTTTCTTGAGGCACTAATAATACAGCATCCTAAGAAATTTGTATTAGTAACAATCAAACACTTGAACAAAGTTATTCTTACTTGAGGAAGACTTAAAAATCCCGCCAAATTTTTCAGTGCAATAAGCCTTTGTAAAGGTTGTATACTCTTGAAATTCATACCAATAACAAGGCATAGCAAAATAGAATCTTCAGAATTTTTACATCGTTTCTATAAAAATGTTCAAGCATAAATTTATTATTTAACCTATGGTAAAATGTATAATATCATACGAACATTATTTCGAACATTTTTCCATTTCAAAGGCGCAACTCTGATAGACGCTACATCAGAAACCATCCGACGACTTTTGTCTCCTGCTCTTACCAACAAATGATCACGAACATCCTCAGGTCCAGGTATTCCTTCAAGCTCATCCTTACCTTGCACTAACCAACTTGGAAGACCACCACCATCTTGACCCAAAAACTAAAATTTGAACTTATGCATTTAAAAAATAATCATGGCTTTGTATCTTTAATATTTTGAATTGCTATTAAAGCAACTTATCAAGACTTTTGCATTACATTTTTTCATCTAACTTTTTTTATTAACACGTTGACTGCCGGCGGCCTCAAGAATATTTAATATTTATACGCCAAGTTCATTTTTCAGTGTCATTATAAATTTGTATGTATAGGTACTATTGAATTTGAAAAAAAATTAAAAATACAAAAGAAAATGTTAAAATTATGTTTTATACATCAAAAAATTGCAATTATTTCCGCTACGCCACAGCGCATCTTCTACATCATTATTGTAGCGCCACGGAAAAGTTAATAATATAAATCCAAATTAATTTACATATGGCCACCTACGAATGATATGGTGCGGCAGCCGGCGGTCTAAAAATTATCAATACCTAATTATTTTTATACGGACGCCTGCCGGCGGCCACATGGCAGTCAGCGTGTTAAGTGAAAAAGTTTTATCAACAATAATTTTAAAAAATTTACAGAATTCGAATTTCTCATGGCTATAAATAGCTGAGAAAGAGTCAAAATATTTCAAAACTTTTACCATACATGGACAATTTTAATATAAATACAGTGAAACCTCCACTAACGGACATCTCCCAATAGCGGACACCTCCCAATAGCGGACGTTTTTTGGGGAACGGGGACATTTTCACTACTTTTCAATAGGAAAACCTCCGAATAGCGGACTCTCCGAATAACGGACATTATTTTATTAGGGAATTTTTAAAATAATGGTAAATCCCTAATTTAAAAATTTTGATTTTGATTGTAAAAATATACTTTAAATAATAATATGTAATTTGTAAAAATATAAAAATGTAATGATAAATATTAAATAATAATTTTTGATTTTGATTGTAAAAATATACTTTAAATAATAATATGTAATTCGTAAAAATATAAAAATGTAATAACTTACAATAAATAATAAGTAAAAACATTACATATATGTATATTTACATACATAGTACATTATTATACAAATAAATTTCAAAAATGTATCCCCTCTGAATAACGGACACCTCCGAATAACGGACAAAATGTTGGTGACCAAGAGTGTCCGCTATTCAGAGGTTTCACTGTACTTGGTAAAAATTCTAAGTACCTAAAGTTTTCAGTTTTTGAGTTACACCAAAAAAATAGAAAACAATTTTCTCAAAAATTACTTCTGCATAAAAATTCCCATTATTCTTGTATTATTGAATTTGTATTCTCGACGCTTTCAACAACTACTGGGAATTTTAAATTTTGACCTCCAGAATGAGCCAACTACTTTCACTTTTCTATGAGAGGATGATGATGTTGAAAATCGGAGAATTTGTACTACCTCTATCATTTATAATGGAAAAAAGATACACATATCATTGTAAATACACAAATACAATACATTCATTTGCTAAGCTAAGAATCTAAAATGACAATTTTTTGTAATTAAGTAAGCAGTTCTATCACTTTCAATAAAAAACATAAACCTTAACTAGAATTATAAATTCATATTTAATAGGTACGATCTAGTAAATATTATAATTTATTAAAATTGTTGGTTAGTTAAAATATTCAAAATACATTTCTTTCTCATCTTCTAATATTAAAATGTTATTGTGGTAGGTCATTAATTTTTTATATTGATTGATATTTAAGTAGTTCAAATATGACAACAATTAATCAAAAGCACTTTAATGCTTAAAATCCTAAAAATATATTTTTAAATAGTATATTGAAATTAGTTTGATATACATGTCATAAAATAATTCATCATATTAACATAAAATTACATTTGTCATGTGTTCTTTCATACAGATAAATAATTTATATTAAATGATAACGCATAATTATTTCAGAATAAATGTTAAAAACAATGAATCAACAATTATTTGGTGTCATATGTTATCAACATTTAAACAAATAATAATTTTGTAAGTCCGTTAAGTGTAAACTGATGCTATAAAACATTATAAAATCATAAAAATAAGCATGATAACCTAGATTTAATAATTTTTAACTATTAACAATTACTGTAACAGGCACGCAAAATATTTAAATCAATTTTATAAATGATAGACATGTATAATAATATATTTGTGCTAAATAAAACAGAACAAACAGGACACATAATATTAATATTGGTAGATAATTTATATAATATTTGTTTATTTAAATATTGATTGATTAGAATTAACATTTGATAGTTAGACAAATTAAAATCTGTTGCATGCTGTAATAAAAAGTTGTGATATTGAAAAAGATAAAGGTGCTATTATTTGAGATAAATTTTGATTTAATTCATATTACAATAAACAAATAATTTGTGATAATGGTTTGCTCATATCTAAGGTATTTAGAATATTTATTATAATCTTTTTGTAGAATTTTTCTATGATACAATGATTTGTAACTGACCTGAATAAGTAATTTATTATTTTTCACAGTACAAGTTTACGACAATCAATTGTTTAAAATAAATTTTTTTCACAATAGCAAAAGAAATAATTTAAAGTGGCATTTGGGCATCCTTACGAGTTCTACATGAACACTATCCAGTGTTTAAATATAATTTGTAACCGCTTTCTAATTTGAGAGGATATACAACACAAATTAGGGAAGAACAAGTTCCTAATTATATTTTATACCTTATATGAATTTTTTGTTAATGGTTTTGAGATATGTTAATAGACACATTTTTTCGAGTCAAATACTCAAATTGAAACATTACTATACTGCCAAGTAAAACGGACTTACGTCAATAGGACTGGTGTTGTCGACGACCGAGTCATGAGGAATTTTGAAGTAAAATAACTTGCCAACAGTGGCCACCGGTTCCGGAATGCTCCACCATTTATGTTTGACGTCGCCGGATTTGTGCGCGGACGCCAGACACAAAATAAACGCAATGGCAGCTAGACTCTTCATTTGGACACTAAATCCGAACACAAATCGTCGGTTACATTAATGAACGTGAATAACATGTTAGATGGCAAGGCACAATAAAGCAACGGGTCGGCCAGTTGTGTGCGTGGGCAGTCAGCGGCGGGCGCGACAGATGGTCCGACAGGGAACTGGCCCGTGGGTGGGTGGGGGGCCGTGAAAAATTCACCGCACACCCACACACGGTGGACACAAACAACTGGCCGTTGTGATACCCGCTGACGGGATCCAGGGCGTCCAGCCGGTCGGTGGGTGGTTCGGTGGACGTCCGGTACCCGGGAACCATTAAGATCACGCTGTTCCGTCGTTACTTACTATCTGAGTGCGATATTATTTGGAATTAAAATCGTGTGCTGCTAAGTTGGTGGAATAATAATACGTCAAGTCGGTATAATGCGTGGCGGCGGCTAATGTCCCGAAGGGTTACTCTCTCGCCGCGGTCACGATGCTAATGGCATAATAAATGTATTAACTCACGACAGCAATAACATAATAATAAGTAATAACAAAAACGATAATAATGATATGACGTAAAAAAGGTAAAAAACCGACGCTGTAGATAAGCGTTCGAAGTGTGCACGGTCAGCTACTCAGCTCACTAGTCACTATTCACTATTCAGTATAGAGTATAGCAATAGTACTGTTGTGATATGGGAATTGGGAATATCGCTCGCCCGAACTTATAGCGAACCTGGCGGATAACTATAAAAATTTACATAGTTGGGACACGCTGCTACTTACTATAACTAGCATAACTTATATTATTGTACATTGAGTATCCTTTTCATCCGTGAGGGCAATTAAGAGGACCTTACACTTACATTTGTTGTCTCCGTCTTACACACGTACGATTGAATATTTTCGTTCACTAGTTTCAATAGTGTGCTGTTACGTCTTTTTAGTTATGATATTAGAGGAATTGACCTATCATCAAAGTTTTAGGTAAGAGCATAATCTATGCTTAAGCGTCGGTGGATTTTTGGATATTTTAATTTTCAAACGAGATATGAGCATTTTTCATTTATGTTATTTCACATACTCGTATCTTCCTAGAAAATGAAAGTATCTAAAATCCGTGGCGGATCGGTGGCGGACAGTTATTTTAGCCAAAACATACCAATCTTTTGTCTATCACACTTATCGACTTAGTAATACGATAATACTTTTTAAAACTGATTTGAATTTTTTATTATGTCTACTTGAGATCGGTCGGTCTACTTTTCCTAATTTCACTCCCCCGACAACTTTAAATGTAGTTTCAATATTTTGAAATTTTGGAACTATCAAAAGTTTATTATTCGGAATTTAATTCAGAAATCTTAAAATATGGACTGACCGATCTCAAGAAGACATTATAACGAATTCGGATGAGTTTACTAAAATATTATAGCATTATTAGGTCGATCGGTGGATGGACAAAAAGTGCATACAAATGAGCATAAATTGTTTACCGTTTTTTAGTGCAACAACGAGTAGGTGACTTGTACATGCGCGTGCGGGAACGATTCGTTATTTCTTTTACACACAGTCACATACACTAATCATCACTTACTACGCACACATTTACAAGACCAGCATGTAAGCAATTTGAAAATTGCCTATTTAAAACTCCTTAAAACCTGTCCACCATCGATCACCTTAAGGTGGCTCTTCATAGTCGCTAGTTGCTACCACAGTAAATTTTAGTTTGAAATATCTAAAGTTTTAACAAAATGAAATATAATGTTTGAGTTTAACTCTGAACAAAATATTTGAATTTTTTGATAAAAATCTATACATTGATAAAATTTGATGAGTATCTATAGAGCGTACGGAACACTGAAAAAATGTAATCTTATTTCATTTTGAAATGTAATTATTAAAAACTTGAAAATACGGGTTTTATCTAACTATTGCTGTAATTTAACCAAAAATTAAAGATAGAAAATGTTAAGTACTATATCTGTAGACATCTTTTTGCTGAATCAAAATCTTTTTTTCAGATTTAAAATCAGACTACTTTAACTTTAATTTTGTGAGAGGCTCAAAGCACTAAGTGTCTAGGTAAGTTGACGTTTGACATTGTTAACTATAAATTATAATATTTATAATGATATCATCATAATTGTGGGTAAAACAAGACAGCAAACTCTTTATATAGATAGTAATGTATTCTTTAAAATATACAAAATAAAATATAAAAAATTATGCGACATTATTGACAATGGTAATATACAAATAAAAATAAGTTAGACTAACTTGAGTAGACTATAATTCTAAAAAAGCGGGTAAGTGGATGTCACTCTGCTGTACAGTAGGATACAAGTGGGTCACTGTATAATGGATGGAATTAAATTTGAATTCAATGATACAATATCATTGTATAAGAAAAACGATTCTGAGTGGAGACGGTATGTCAGTCTTTGTTTAAGACATATTAATACCAATATATCTGAGTCAAAATTCGAATTTTAAATGCTTATAAAAAAAAATTGTGCCTATGTATTTTAAATATTTTACAATTGCCATTGTAAAAATATATCAGGAGCCTTGTATTAAATTTTCAAGCTTTTTCGCCCAATAAATAAAATTTTATTGGTATTTATAGAAAAAAAAACTAAGAAAATTGAAAATTGACAATGTCCGTAAACATCTCAAAAAGAGTCAAATTATTTTCAAAATTTTATCGTGTTTAGAAAATGCTAATATCAACATTCAGTGAAATTTTCAAGTATCTACAGCCATTCGTTTTTTAATTACAACAAAAACAGAAAATCGTTACATGAGAAATCGAGTGAATATCAAATGTTGTAAAAATATGAATTTCAAACGCTCATAAAAATTTAATTTGACTTTCTTCTAAAAATTTTTTTTTTGATAAAGGTAGACAAACTTATGAGGAATCTTGTATTAAATTTTAAAATCTTAGATTTAAAAACAAAATTTTTTATGAATTTCTAACTTAAAATAATTTCCAAATTTTCGTCGTTTTTACGTATTTTGTCAATATTTGAACTTTAAATGCTTATAAAAAAAAACTGTGACTAAGGATTTTTAATTTTTTTCATCTGCCTTTGAAACAATATACTAGGAGCCTTGTATTAAATTTTCAAGTTTTTTTAACCAACAAATAAAATTTTATTGATATTTATAGGAAAAAAAATTAAAAAAATTGAAAACTGACAATGTCCGTAAACAGTTCAAAAAGAGTCAAATTATTTTCAAAATTTTACCGTGTATAGAAAATGCAAATATAAACAACCTGTGAACATTTCATATATCTACGGCCATTTGTTTTAGAGTTACACCAAAAACCAAAATCGATTTTGCGTAAAAATTCCCGTTTTTCCTTAATTTTTCTTTTGTTTTTCACGTCGCTTTTGAAAACCACTAGGAAATTTTTACTTTTGACCCCCCAAAAGTACCAACTAGATTCACTTTCCAATCAGAAAAGTTGCTGTTGAAGAAAATCGAAGCAGTTTTACTATCCTAAAAGGTGATGACAGACACAAAAAATAATTTAAAAAAAAAATAAATAAAAAAAAAAACACATATCATTGTAAAATCAATACATTCATCGTTCCACTCAGAATCTAAAAAGTGCATATAATATTCACAACAGGTTTCGAAAAATATTCATCATCAGGTTTAAAAATAAAAAAAGCTAGTAAGTGGATGTCATTCTGCTGTACGTTAGGTGTCCAAGAGGTCGCTGTAATAGATGGTATTACATTTGAATTCAATGATATCATTGTATACGAAAAACGATTCTGAGCGGAGACGGTATGTCAGTCTAGGATATTTTATATTGTTATTATTTATTATTAATATGGTAGTTGGAGAGTTGAATTAGTATTATTCTTAAATTATCAGTGATGCTGGAAAAATATTTATTACACCTATGTACAATTGGGCTGTTTTAGAACCAAATTACAAAAAATGGTAACTGTTATTCTTTGTATATATATGCAATTTTGTCCAAATTTGAACTTAAAATGTCTGTAAAAAATAACTGTATTCATATATTTTTTAGATTTCTTAGTTTTATGGAAAAAACTACTTAAATGGAACCTTGTTTTAAATTTTTAATCCTTAGCTATAAAAATTGAACATTTTATACATTTTTAACAACAAAATCATTTTCAATTTTGAACTTAATAAATATAGTCAAAATTTAAACTTATGCTTATAAAAAAAATCGTGCCTATGTATTTTTAATATTTTTTAACTGTTATTGTAAGTTGTAACAAGTTATCAAGTGTCTTGTATTAAATTGTAATGGTTTTTGACCTAACCAATAAAATTTTATTGACATTAATAGAAAAAAAAAATATGTCATATGAACAATTTTATAAGCTAAAGTTTGCTGTAACTTTTTCAATTCAAAAAAACATTCCGGAACTCAAAAAATAAATCATCAAACAAAATTTAGAATAAAGGGTTTTTCCAAAATTTTTTTTAGTAAAAACCTTCTCCTGGCAATTACGAACAATTAAAAAAAATTGAGCCAAATCGGCCCAGCCGTTCTCAATTGATGAATTGTTATACATTTTTGAATCCATTTTTATATATATATAGATTAATTTTTCTTTGTTTTTTTAATAAACCGTTTAAAACTAAAATGTAAATTCTACTTTTTTTCAATATTTCCAGCTATGATTAATTGCTATTTATTTTTTACTTAGCAGGCATTATATAATATGTTTAAAATCATTTTTCTTAGGAGAAAATTTGATTTTACATACTATTAACATAATTTTTTTATGAACAAAGGTGTGTGAAAAAAACACATTTTAGAGGTTTATACCTAGTGGATTTCTTAAAAATCTTTAGTTATAGATATAGACTTTGGAAGAAGAACTCGAGAACGTTCCTCAACTTTTAGGGACTTAAGTCCCCACTCAACATTTTTCCCATTTTAACCACGGCTTCTATATTTAAATGGCGCCCTTCGCCTGCCGGATACAGCCGTCAATGTATCACCTAAGTATAGTACCCTAACCCTA